ATTTTTTTCTTTTCCTTTTCCTTTCCCCTACCCCTCCCACTTCCCCTACTCCTTTAGACATTTTCTTCCTATTTCATGATACCAATTATACATTTTTATTCTTATTTATACTTTTAGTTTTTCACACCAGAGAAACTATTTGGTGTTTACACATGTGTGTCCTATTTATTTCACTTAAGAGTATAGCCTCAATGTGCATCCACTTAGCTACAAATGTCTCCAGTTTCTCATTCTTTATGGCTAAGTAGTACTCCATTTTATTTAAAAAACCCCACATCTTCTTTATCCAGTCTCCAGTTGATAGGCAATTGGGTTGTTTCCTAGTTTTAGCTATTACAAACTGTGCCACTATAAACATGGGTGTGCATATATCACTGTGGTATGATTCCTTTAATTCTTTTTTTTTTTTTCTTGGTACCGGGGATTGAACTGGGGTCCTTGCGCTTGTGCAGCAGGCGGCGAAACCACGGAGCTAAATCCCTGGCCCTCTTTTAATTCTTTTGGGAAGACACCCAGTAGAGGAATAGCTGGGTCAAATGGGACTTCTAATCCTAGTTGTTTGAGGTATGTCCATACTGATTTCCACAATGGTTGCATCAGTCTGCACTTCCACCAACAAGAAGGGTTCCACACTCCCACCAGCATTTGTTATTGGTTGATTTCTTGATAGCAGCCATTCTTTCTGGTGTGAGGTGCAATGTCAGCATCATTTTCATCTGCATCTCTCGAATGACCAGTGATGTTGAACATTTTTTCATATGTGTATTTGCTGCTTTTACTTCTTTTTCTGAGAAATATCTGTTCATTTCAGATGCCCAGTTTTGAATTGGGTCATTATATTTGGGGGTGTCTGATTTTTTTGAATTCTTTATATATTCCAGATAGTAGACCTTTGTCGGAGGAACAGCTGGTAAAAGCTTTTTCCCACATTGTAGGTTGTCTCTTAGCTCTGTTGGTGGTTAAACTTGCAGTGAAGAAGCTTTTTAATAAGGTGAGATCCCAGTTGTTGATTCTTTGTGCGAGTTTCTGTGCTAGTGAGGATTTGTTCATAAAGTCCTTTCCTATGTCAGTGTCTTTGAAGTTCTACCTATCTTCCAGCAAGTTTGGTGTTTCTGTTTTAATATTTAGATCTTTAATCCACTTTGATTTTAGTTTAGCACTTGGTGAAAGGTAGGGGTCTAGTTTTAATCTTTGCCAGGTTGAAATCCAGTTTTTCCAACACCACTTATTAAAGAGGCTATCTTTCTTCCAGTGAGGATGATTGGCCCCTTTGTAAAAGATGAGGTGGCTGAGTATGTCTGCAGTTGTTTCTGCATCTTCTAATCTATTCCACTGATCCTCGGGTCTGTTCCTTTGCCAGTACCATGCTGATTTTATCACAGTGGCTTTGTAGTATAGTTTCAAGTTGGGGATTGTGATACTCCCAGCCATGTTTCTGTTGCCTACAATTGCTTTTGCTATTCTAGGTCTCTTCTGGTTCCCAATGAATTTTTGAATTGTGTCCTCTAGTTCTGTGAAATATATTGTTGGAATTTCATTTGGGATTGTATTAAATCTATATATCAGTTTTGGAAGTATGGCCATTTTCACTATATTTGGTTCTTCCTACCCAGAAACAAGGGATGTCTTTCCATTTTCTTATATTCTCTTTGATTTCTTTTTTCAGTGTTGTAGTTCTCAATGTAGAGTTCTGTTGTCTCCATTAGATTGATTCCTGGATATTTCATTTCTTTGGATGCTATTGTGAAAGGGATTGTTTCCCTAATTTCTCTCTCAGTGAGTCTGCTATTTGTGTACAAGAATGCTATTAACTTTTGAGTGTTTATCTTGTCTCAAGCTACTCTATTGAATCTGTCAATTAAGTCTAGAAGTCTTTTGGCGGAGTTTTTTTGGTCTTCTATGTAGAGTATCCTATCATCAGCAAATAATGACAGGTTAACTTCTTCCTTTTCTACCTTTATTGCTTTTATTTCTTTCTCTTGTCTAATTGCTGTGGCTAATGTTTCCAAAACTATATTGAACAGGAGTGTTGATAGTGGGCATCCTTGTCTTTTTCCTGATTTAGCATGAAGGTTTTCAGTTTTTGACCATTTAGTATGATGTTGGGTGTTGGTTTTTCATAGATAGCCTTTATCAAGTTGAGATAAAGACCATCTATTCCAATTTTCTGCAGGGCTTTCTCATGATTGGATGTTGAATTTTGTTGAATGCTTTTTCTGCATCTATTGAGATGATCACATGGTTTTTGTCCTTGACTCTGTTATATAGTGTATTACATTTATTGATCTACATATTTTGAACCATCCTTGCATCCCTGGGATAAATCTGACTTGGTCAGGGTGTATGATCTTCTTGATGACCCTCTCTATTCTATTTGCCAGTATGTTATTAAAGATTTTTTTTGTTCATTAGGGAGATTGGCCTATAGTTCTCTTTTTTGGTTGGGTCTTTCCCTGGTTTTGGAATCAAAGTAACACTTGTTTCCAGGAATGAATTTGGAAGTATTGCTTCTCTTTCAATTTCATTGAAAAATGTAAAGAGTAGTGGCAATAAATCTTCTCTAAATGTCTTGTAGAATTCAGCAGTGAAGCCATCAGGACCTGGGGTTGTGTTGGTAAATTTTTAATTATGTTTTGAATTTCACTGATTGTAGTTGGGTGTTTAGGCTTTTTATATCTTCTTCAAGTTTGTTAATTCATGTGTATCTAGAAACTTGTCCATTTCTTCTATGTTTTCCATTTTATACAGAAATTATTTTTAATTAGATCATTACAGTGCTGAGCCTTTCTGTGTCTAACAGCATAGCTTTAAAACATGTAAAGCAAGACTAACAGAAAACATAATTATATAAATCCACAACCATAATAAAACATTTTTAAAACCTCCTTCAAAATTGGTCACTCAACCAGAAAGTGACTGAACATTCTCCAGGAGTGATATCATTGCATATGGTTTGCTCTATTTATATATTTTCTGTGATGGCATGCGCTACTTTTATAATCAATAAATATATTTTTTAAAATTTAAAAATATTTTATACAACAAAACAGGATGGAGAAATATGTCTCTAATATGTGACACAATTAGAATCATCTCTAGAAGACTGATTATCTATGAAACTATTTCTTGTATTATTCATATATACTATTTATATATAACTTTCAGAATGCCTTATACCTAGCATAGGTGAGAAAATGTAAAATAAATCTTTCATTTAAAACATGCAGTGGAAAATGAAAAAACAATTTGCAGCTCATTGAACAAAAGATATTATATAAAGGTATGAATAGTAAAAGTTTGAACTTTTGTGTGTATAATAAATAAATGTTGAGTGTGATAATGTCCTACCTGTTTGTTCTGTGGAGCTCAATTCTTTTTTTCCATCCATAGTCTCTCTTATCTAAATCTGTACTACCACTCCACAGAAGATTCGATGCACATGGGCATAGACATGCACCCCTTGAGGCCCCCAGAACTATCTTTTCAGTTTTGAACTAAAGGCCAACAGAAATTACCACTTTAAGGTAGATAATGATGAAAATGTGCACCAGTTGTCATTAAGAATGTGATGATGATGATGATTTTGATCATGAAAAAACTGAAGAGAAAGCTCCAGTGAAGAAATGGATACAAGATACTCCAGCCAAAATGTATAGAAAGAAAACAAACCAGAATGGAAAGACTCAAAACTATCAGTATCAAAATCAAAAACTCCAATTCTAGGGCTGGGGATTTAGCTCAATGGTTCTGCCGCCTGCCTCGTAAGCACAAGGTCCCGAGTTCAATCCCCGGTACCAAAAACAACAACAACAACAAAAAACTCCAATTCTTAAACACCAAAATGTGACTACAGCAAAGCTGAAAACAGTTTGTGGAAAATCATTCCAAGAGGTCTGGACAGAGTCATTTGGAGTGACTGAACACAATGGGAAAGTGTTATATATTCTATGTAGTAGAAGTGTTGTGTGTCACTTGTCACGTGAAGGCACTTTGACCACAACAACAAAGTATTGCCAAACTTGGTGAAACTGAAAGAAAAGTGTTTCTTGAAGGGAACTGAGGAAATATCATTCCCAGTATCTTAGTTTGTACAACTATCTTTCAAAACAAATCGTGACAGCTACCAGCTTTCAAATTTCACTGTGCGTAGTAAAACATCTTCAGCCCTTCTATAATGGGGATTTTATTAAAATAGCCATGTTGTCACAGAGTAATTCCCTTTTTCATGATTTCCCGAACAAGGTAAAATTATGCAATGCATCTCTGAGATGCCACTTAGCTCAGATACTGTTAAAGATCAAGTTCTGTGTATACCAAGTGGTGTTAGTCAGCAGCTCACCACTGACTTACAAAAGGCAGCCATGTGCTTGGATGAAAGCACAGATAATAATCTTGCAAGGGTAGCAGTAATTTTATGTTATGCTGTTGGTGACATCATGAAAGAAGACCTAGTGAAACTGGTGTCTTTGCCTGGAAGAACACAGGGATCAGTATCTACAGTGTTGTTATGGAGGCTTTTTTGTCACAAGACATAAGTCCAGATAAAGTGGTTTCAATTACTAGTGATGGGACACCCTGTATTGTGGGGCAACATCTGGTTTTGTACAGTTCTTTGTTAAAGAAGCAAAAGAACCATTGAGTTTCATTGTATTATACATCAAGAACCTCTTTGTTCTAGAGAAAGCAATAAAAAATTAGACAATATCCTCAAAGATGTCACAAAAATGGTGAATTACATTATGGCTCATGCATGTAATTTTCAACCACTTCTTGGTGATGTTCACGCACAGTATAATACTTTACTTATGTACAATGTCTGGTGACAGCAAAGAATGAGTCCTGGAGAGAGATTCATAGCCTGCTTGGTTGAAAGTAGGGCGTTTATGTGTAGGGAACAGGGGAAGGGGACATTACCAGAACCTCTGCAGTGAGTCCTGGTCTCCTGCGAGCCATGGCAGCACACGATGAATTACAGGAAAGGTAGAAAAATGAGACTGAGAAGAAGCTGAGCTTTGGGTCTGATCAGTGCTGCTCAGGGCAGCAAAGACAAAAGCCCCCGGCTTACCACACCTTTTATTCAGTACGTCGGGAGAAATAAATGCAACAAATGAAATATAGAGTTCAATAGTTCACATTGGGATTAACAAGGTGTAACAAAAGGATGGGGGGCAGTGGAAATCTAAGAACAATGAGGAACTGAGCAGATGTTTGTTCTCCCAGGATGTTTTCAGCTCCCAGGATGTTTCTTGTCCTGGAAAATCACAGCATCACTGGATCACTGAAGTCTCAGTTGTGACCGGACGCCAAACTGGAGTTATTCTGTAGCTGGGCTGTAGGCAAGAGAACTAGGCTAACCAAATGATTTTACCCTAAAATTACGTAGCATTGCTCCTGACATTTATGAATGAAAACAGGTAGGAATATCCACAGCTCACTGATATGGCCTGACTTAACAACCTCATATTTTTTACAGATTTTACACTACGCCTTAGTACATGAACAAAAAACTACAAAATATAGGGAAAACAGCAGAAAGGATGTTTTGTGATATCTAAACATTTGAGAGAAAACTTCAGATTTTTGAAAGAGACTTTGAAACTGGGCAACTGAAATATTTTCCGAATCTAAAAATGCCTTTAGAAAATTCAACATTTGCAGACAATCCTACAAGCCAACAGAAAATCTTCAGGAATGTTCTAGCATTGTAGCAGCTACAAAGGAGAATTTTAATAACAGATTTTTACAGTTTTATAAGATGGAGACAACCCTGTGTTTTCTTACTGTTCCAGGTAAAGCCAATTTGAAGAAATTAATCTTTCCTGCTTAACTGGTTAGATTTTGGAAATCTGGAAATAGAGCTATTGGAATTCCAAGAAAGCTCTATCTGGAAAAATAAATTCTATGACTTGCGTGAAACACTAGTGAAGATAGAGTGTGAAGGAAGGACAAAGAACAACACAGTTGGTAGTTCTGAAAATGAAACCCTTAAAGTGTGCAATTCTCTGCCAAATTCTCAGCACTTGGGATTGTTTTTCTTACTTTGTTTGGATTATCTTAAGCTTGTAAGCAGCTGTTTTCAGGTTTGAAGTGTATCAAATCGTATACAAGAAACAGACTGAAGGATGATCTGAGTGCTGCATGTGCTGGTCTCAAGTTAACAAAGTATGAGCCAACATCTGACAGACTATAAACATGCATATGACAGCAAAGATCACATTAATTGTGCAAAAGTACATCAAATACAAGCTTATATTTCAATAAAAAGTTGTATCATTAAAATAAATAAATAAATGTCACTGTATCCAACTATAGGAAAAGAAACACAAGTTTCAAAAATTACCTACAAGTTCCTGAGCCACCAAAGGCAGATATTCTTCAGGCAATATTCACTAACAAAGCAATGAAATGAAATTCAATTATTTTGAGTCTAGCAAAAATAATCTACTCATCATTTGACAATACTATTCAAAAATTTTAAAACACCTCCTCAATAATTAGAGGAATTACCTACATAAAATACGGATGCTCCAAGAGTACTCAATTCTAGAAAAGAAGATTAAAAGAAATGCATGTACCAAGCCAGGAAAATGGCAAAGTTCACTATTGGTCAAGGGTCTTGGATAGGCAAAAAAGAGTTACCTATGACAAAGTGAAATGACAGATCTACACTATAGAAGGGAGAGGGAAGTCTATATTTACATTACTTTTTTTTGGAACTATCAGGAATCCCCAAGATTATCTAAGCTTCTGTGATTCACTAGAGACTTAAAGGACTTGGCATATTGCTACTCAACAACTGAGATTGAGTAGAGTGAAAGGGTATGAAAATCAACAAGGGGAAAAAAGCAAAGTCTAGAGGAAACTAGATGCAAGCTTCCAAGTGTCTTCTCCCAGTCGTCACATGAATAAAATTGATTCCAACAATAGTTGTGGCAAAGTTCACTAGGCTAAGATCAAGATTTTAACAGAAGACAACTCATGTAGACTCTTCTTGTCAACACATGTAACATCCTGGATTCTAAATGTTACCATCCTTCTGGTGGGTTCTTTTCTCAATCCATAAAGAATTATGAGGCAGAATTAAAAGAGGACTCTGTGTATTTATCACACAGAGAAAGTGGAAAGCAGATTTTATTGTAAAGTGAAAGCAGAAAGTATTCAACCAGGGAGGGGCCCTGTACAGTTTGCCAAAGAGACTGTCTAGTTTTTATACACAAAAATAACTAAGACTCAGCCAAGTTGGGATCAACCTATGGGGTTACAAGCAGGAAAGTCTGACTTAGAAATGGGCCTGTAGAAACTCAGGCTATATACCAAATATACTTTCATCATCATTAATTGTAACTTTTCTAAAATTAGCAGAATAAACAGAAGACAGACATTCTTGAGAGAGGTATGAATATATAACTTATTCCTGGGCAAGAAAGTCCTGGCAATCTAATGAGTCTTTTCTTTGTTGAGCCTCTGGTATCCTGGCTTTGGCCATCATGTCCTTCACTGAGTTACCGCTACTCCCTCGTTGACTTTGGCTTTTCTCTATCATGTCTGGAATTCTTTTTGCCAGAACCCTCCCTCCATTACTTTCTCATGTGCCAGTGTCACTTTGAGAAATCCTCTCACCTCCCCACAGGGGCCCACTCATTCCTATACACATCATATTTTACAGAAACTGACTATTGTTGGGTGCCTCTTGTTAGGTTAGGAAAATGATTCCTCATGGAGGGCTCATGGTTCATTCTTCCCAAGTCTCTTATCATCTACCCACTTCACTAAGAAGGAATGTGGTCCTCAAACCACACTGGTTGACAAATAGTTTAGGCACAATGAGCCACTCTTAACACAGGAAAAGTTTTATATCAACCTAGGGAACTGTTCATCATGTCTCTAGATGCCAACTAAGGACCAACCTTATAAGTAGGCCTTTTTAAAGATAAGCAGTCTCAGTTCACTATGCTAACTCTGTTCTGTACAGAAAAACTACATAGAGAAATTAAAAGAAAACTTGGTGGAGATATATATATATATATAT